GCAAAATCGCGTGTATCGGTTTGCAACGTTGCAAACTTCCTATTATACTCCATTTTTTACATGGAAAAATACTGAACATTATACCTCGAAAACTACTAATTCTTTTTTCTGTGAAGAATAATGTATATGAAGATTTCAATCAGTAGCTTTGGTCTGCTCTCATTTGATAAAATAAAATGGGAGCGAAGATTTTATAACACGGCAAAAGCGATACGCGCTATAAGCGACACTATGGAGAAAATATCCGAAGTTTGGCATCCGGTAACTTTTCGTAGTCGCTTTGAATACAGAACGTATTCAAATCGATTCCATCTACGAATTCAAAACTTCCGCGAGACCTATGCAATACCTAATCCTCGATCGAGATGACATTTTCAACAACAAAGCCTAACGCAAAATTAAATTCGATTCCAGCCGAACAAGAGTATTGAGAATATCGATTCCGATTCGATTTCGAGCGTGGAGATTTACGGCGATTGGCCACTCCGCTCGGCTGAAAACCGCGCTCCAGAACGGATGGGCACATTTGACGAATGTCCCCGGATAGAATTCTTTCAATCGGAGCTTACCGCATAGATGGAAAATAGTATCGCATAATCTGGCAATACTGAACGTCGAGCAAGTGTGCCAATTACGGTTGTTTCAGTGATGAGCACCGTTGACAGTCGCTCTTAAAATTCTGGGCGACGTCCCTTCCCGCTGGCAGGGGATAAATTTTGGTCCAGCGGTGGGTAATGAGATTGCGGTTTCCGGCCCTCTTATGCCGTGCTGAGGAAAACACAGTATGTCACCTTGAATGTTGCAAAATTTAGGGAAGAAAACATGCATTTACACTGGAAAAAAAAATCTTGGTGTATTTACCAAGAAAAGGGTAAAATTACCACGAATTCGGGGTTCTGATTCCAGTTTTTTCTTGGTAAAATTATCATTTATGAAATTGATAATTTTACCGAGAATTCTCGGTAAAATAATTGAACTCTCTCGGTAATTTTACCGGACCTTGATAAAAACGCCAATATTTTTTATCGACTGTGGTAGAATTACCGAGATAAAATGGCAAAGTTACCGGGAATTGATTACCAATAAAAGTTGTATTCTTACCTGAAAAAAAAAACAGTAAAAATACCGGTTTTTAGGTAAGCTTACCAGTCTGTCTTGGTAAAATTACCAATAATTGATAAAAAAGTGAGATGGTAAAGGTACCAACGGACCTTGGTAAAAACGCCGAGAATTTTTTTTTAGTGTACGATCCCCTCCCCCTGAATTTTTGTTTTTTAGATGAATTGATCTTAATTTACCCACGAATTGAAGATGGTGAAATAGTGCTTGATCCGCACATTTCAAGGGAAATAGGGGAAAAGCAAGGGAAAGCGAGGCAAAAAAAATATTTATTAGAGTCAAAATGACTTCGTGACTCAAATTGAAATTTTTTGGCATTCCTTCCCCGCAATATAGTGGGAACCCAGCACTATTTCACCGCCTTCTTACATGCAGATGGGGCTAGTTTTAGTTTGTTTTTTTTTGTTATATGAATACATTTTCTAACAAAATGGACCAGTATACAGTGTACGGAATTTGTTCGCAAAATGCACCCTTATCAAATTTTGCGTAGAATTCCATCAGCACTCCAAAACGATTCGGTATTTGGTTTAGGCAACGTATTATACAATGTAAAATTTCGACAAAGCAGCATGTCTTTGGAGATTCAAATTTTTACTTTGGCTTGTTGTACCATATATCGACGGTGTGAGTCAACTATCACGTAACTCGGTTTAATTGCGACGTCGCAGACTTCCTGTCATACTGTATTTTTTAAACGGAAAACTACTCAACGGCATTTCTTTAGAACTGCCGTGGTTTTTCCTCTCTGTGCGAAGAAAATTCTGCGAAAACTCCAAGGAACGATTATCCTTATCATTAATCCTTATCGATTATCATTTGTTATCCTTTAAAAAAGTAACGTAGAGCCGGAGATTTTCTGACACCGCAAACCAGATATGTGATTGCAGACTTGCGCCGTCGATATGTATTTAAAAACTGCACGAGGATCTTTCCGACCAAATAACTTATACATATGTCAACGTCGCCAAGATTGTGCAACTACTCCTTTTTTTACAAGTAACCGAAATCACCCACGTTATAAACTCTGCCAAAATATTCAGAAAAATAGAAAGAAAATTTGAGGCAAATTTCAGAACAAAGCTTACAGCTCTCCACCAACTAAACAGTTATTGAATGTTTGCACAATCTAAAACGTTGACATGAGCATAAGTTCCTTGGCCGGGAAGGTCCAATATGTGTATTTTACGAGTCTAATTTGACAACACCCGAAAGTGCATGCTACGATTATCCCAAACACTCACAACAGTGTTTTCGAGAGGAATGAAGCAATGGTGGAGTGACAACTCACTCTGTGACAGAAACGGCGAGAGACTTGAAAGCTGGTGTGTTTCGAGAATAACTTTGCTTAACACGTCTTAATAAGCAGTGAAGTTGCTTTTGCGGAGGAGACATCTAACGCGGTGTAGAAGAGAATTTAGTGCAGGTGAAAGGAAAGTCTGGTCCCGCCCAAACCGCAAACGGGAAGAAATCTACAATGCAATTTTTACGTCGCGTCAGAAGTAACCTGGATCTGAATTAGAGTGCAAGACACTCGATCTTCAAGTTGATCTTACGCTGATATCGCAATTAACTGCCATGTTTCGCTTAAAACGGCCTAATTTAGAACATTTTTAATTTTTCTGTTCCGCCGTAGAATAATCTTTGCTCATAAACGGCAAAAAAATGTTACACAAAAAAAAATGTTTCTGACCGTCTTCCAGATGGAGAGCACGTTAAAATTAGTATGTTGGAGTTTTTTAGCCAACGTGCGTTAATTCAGCATCTTCAGTAGCCCATCAAGCATCTTCTTTGGCAGCCTTTCTTCCGTCATCCTGTTTACAAGACCATACCAGATAAGCTGTTTGGTCATGACGTCGAATACGGTTTGTAGTTGCCGGGCCAAAAAACGTACCTTCGAGGAAAATTTATTGAAATGGAGTAAATTTGGACTGCATTTTGCAATTCGGAACTATAAATTCTGGCTCTTCTGGAAAAACACTTATGTGCATAGGGAAACTAATGGTACATACGTTGTTTTTAAACCGGGCTAGACTCTATAGGTCCAAATGGGCCTGTTGCAAACTTTTGCTAGAGCAAAAATAAGAGTTGTTTCTTATAGATAATGCCTCAAAAATCACGATGAGCGCATCGGCAAAGTCTGAAATGCACTCATAACTTCACAATCTGCGTAAGAAATTTGCGTTTTTTTAAGCTTCCCGCTTCAAAAACGATACTACGGCATAGGTGAACATTTTGTTAGAGGAGTCGCTCCATCGTCGGCGATATTCATCATGGCCGACGCTTGCACGCAGTTCCGCGCGTAATTCAAGGAGAGTTCAAGGTCAATCAATTCGGGCGTGGAAAATATGAACGTTAACACACCGATTGTTATCTGGTCTAATCCAGTTCAGGTGTTATCTCGTCCCATCAAACGTGTTTTGGCGGATTGGCGTCGGCTATGATGATTATTGCCGACAATGGAACGACTCCTCTTACAAAATGTTCACCTGTGCCGTAGTATCGTTTTTGAGGCGGGAAGCTCAAAAAACCGCAAATTTCTTACGCAGTTTGTGAAGTTATGAGTGCATTTCAGAGTTTGCCGATGCGCTCATCGTGATTTTTGAGGCATTATCTATAAGAAACAACTCTTAGTTTTGCTCTAGCAAAAGTTTGCAACAGGCCCATTGCAAAATGTAGTCCATTTAGTGTCTCCATCCTTCAAGAATCGCCCCCGACTCAGCGCACTCTGTAATACTGGCGTGCTAAGGAAAAATGCCGTATGAGTATTCTAGAGTTGCCAAATTTCCTCTAGGAGAAATATACGCGTATTTCTCCTTGAAATTCTCAGATAGTTTAGATTAAAGTGCGAACAAAATGGTCCGAAAAATCTGAGGAAAAATATTCAGAATTTTCCCAGTAAATTCGGTTTTTATTGAGGGAAATCTGGTAAGTCCTGAGTACTCATATGGCGTTCTTCCTTAGCACGGCAGAATTGCAAAGGATCGAAAAATTCACGTTTTGGCCGGGGGGTCAATTTTGGGAGCTGAATAACTTGCAACACAAACTATGTTCTTTTCACCGAAAATTCTTGACAGAGTTCAGTTTTTTAATAGTTCTGTCATTTTTTCTCTCTCTCTCTTCTTTTCCCCCGTTTGAATTTGAGCTTCCTTTATGAATTTATTTTATTTTTTACCCTCAATCTTTCCGAAGAATCGTGGCGTTTCATATATCGTCGTTTTCCTCACGAAAGAACGTAACTACATTACAATGTTGCCAAATTTCCTTTCGTAAATTGCATTTTAACCAGAAAAGTATTGGGCATTTCTAACTGAAACTTTCACTGATTTTTCTTCCGATTTCATGCAAAAATCAGACAAATTTGGATATAAATTGCACACTTACATTTTTGCAAAATAAATTAATTGTTGGAGTCAATTTGGCAACCTTGGATTGGAGTTACGTTCCTTCGTGCGGGAGACGACGATATTTTCCCCTAAAAAAGTCTTATCTTGATGCATCCTAAATCACAGATCACTTCGTTCATTTCTTCTTTCCGCTGTAAGATGCGTTACGTAATTTCTATTTCACCGTGCTAGGGAAAAACGCCGTATGAGCCTTTAGAAATTGCCAAGTTTCCTCCGATAAAAACCGAATTTACTGGGAAAATTCTTGAAATTATTTTCCAAAATGTTCAGACAATTTTGTCCGCAATTTAATCTAAAATATCTGAAAATTTCAAGGAAACATATGCATGAATGTTGTCGAAAATACATGTTTTATCAAGGGGAATTTGGCAACCTCGAATGTTCATTCGACGTTCTTCCTTAGCACGACAGTATAGATTTGAGTTACTCGATCGAAATGTCCTTATCAGACACCAATGAACAGCTTCCAGCTCTTTATCAATTGAATCGTTTCATAACTCCCCGCTTTGAGAATCAAAAAAGTTCAAACGTTCAATCTCTTTAATCTCTGAGCAGCGTCCTTCAAACTCGGATCATTCTCCCTAAGTCCTCTACATTACCCAAGTACGTGTAGTCCTTCCATGTCACCGAACTGACTTTATGTGTTGTGCTCCTGTGAAAATGCTTCATTTATTCAAAGAAGAATCTCAACTTTCAGTTCATCGTCGTATTCCACTCTTTGGAGCCGAGCTGGATCAAAACATCAGATGCGACAACTGCAGGGTTCTCAGAAAGGGCCTGTTTTCACGCTGTAATCTCCAGTCCTGGACACTGTCGACGGAAGAGCTCAAAAAGGTAATAAATGCAATTCCCGAAAGGGATTAGATTCTATGCTCAAGCGAAAAAGTACAAACTACAAAGTTTAGGGATGAGCATGGAGTCCAAGATCTCGGACGAGATGAAGGGAAGCATACCAAGAGGGGTGAGTGAGCATAGAGTTCAATATTATGGACGCGATGATTTGGGGCGTCTGTTTATGGAATCCATCCCGTCCTAATTGCCGTTTTTGTTTTGATTTTTTCAGCAGTTCTCGTGTAAGATCATTAATCGGTAAGTGTTTTCGCTACCAAATGCCCTACGCGATACTCTTATGATTATATTTTATCCAGTCTTTTCAACAAGTAAATCTAATTTTTAGTTGAATTATGGAGGTGGGAAAAAAACTAAGAAAAAACCCTGACTGCTAGAAATAGCACTAAGTAACAATACAGATGAAACAATAGAAGGGGTAAAAGGGGAAATACAGGCGTTCCATATTTAGCATGGATAAATTATCCTAGCTTCCGTTTTACTCCTGTTGAAGATTGGAAATTAATTTCCTAGATTATGTCATAAATGACTCACATTATGGCTTGCACAATTGAGGAATTAATGAGTTGATTATTGACATTAACTTTTCGATTTGTTCAGATTGTCGAATGACTAGTTTACGAAGTTCATCAATGATGAGAGTTGAATTTTGATCACTATCTGTCGTGAGCAAGGCAGTGTTGGCAGGAGAAGGTTTTGAACTTTACTTATTTGCCTTATCACAAGTGACTTCAGCATAAGTCCTATTATTAGAACTAGATTTATTACTTTGATTGTGAGCCGCTTTTTGCGGATGCGGGAAACGCTTTTTGCTCACGTCTTTATATACTTTGCAGCCTTTGTAAGTAGCCACATGGGTTTCCTTACAAAGGGCACAAGTGGGAAGAATACAGGTGGGAACATCAGGAATCTGACATTCGCCTGTTTGGTGTAGCTCTGCGCAAATTGCGCATCTGGCAGGCAAAAAACAGAAGTTACGGGAATGACTCAATTTGAGACAGTTTTTACACTGGATGACTGAATTGATCGCCTTTGGTTTTTCAAATTTGACCAACAAACTTTCTATTTCCTTGACTTGCCAAATCATTTCGCGTGACTCCTTGTCAGGAGACAAATCGACAAAAAGGAGCGGCATTGGAGATTTTGTCCTTGTTACGCAAGATGCGTGTAACTTGCCGGAGAGGAATACTATATTTTTGCTCGAGAGCATTGCGGACTGTTTGTTCAGCATCAGGGAAATCCACAGGGATACCCCTACAGACCACCCTGAATGCCTTTTCTTCCTTGATTTGATGGGTGAAGAAACTGACTTTTTTGCTCTTAAGGAGCTTGGTAAGTTCATGATAATCCTTGATAGATTCGACAACAACTTTAAACTGAGACCGATTGACAATTTTAAGTTTGGTATTTTTAACAGCTTTATCAATTACTTCCGTTTTGAAAGTAAAGGGATTTGTGATTTGGGTAATAAAAATTGGGGGAGGGGTAGGAGCAGGATGCTCCTGGTTATCTAATGATTTCAGAACATTAAAATTGGCACTAAAATTTCTCTAAGATGGATCTCGGAGATTCAATCTCGACGGATTTTTTTTTTTTTGTTGCTTAAACGACTCAAGAAACACATCCAAGTAACGTAGACTCTTGGTATTCACTGCACATAAACTAGAGGGCCCCAGAATGAGAAACAACTTTAAATCATAATTATTGACGGATAAATACCTAAACTTTTTACACGCTTTAGAAGATCTCAGAAGTTCGCGGTAGTCACTTTCCGGTAAGGAACTAAGGGACTCGGTTATTGTATCGAGCAGGGTTCGAAACGATCGCAAAGGCGGTATACTACGTGTACGCGCCAAAAATACATCTTGATCATTGATAATTGATATTATATGGTCGAATCAACTGAAAGCAATTTTTTGCAGGTTGACTAATTAGGAATCAAAACATTTGTTTGAAATAAAACAATGTAATGTTGTCTAATAATATTTATAAGCAATTTTTTTAAAAGTAAAGAAGCCTCATATTCAATATCCGTTCCCTGTGGTACACCAATTTCACGATCGTGAATTTTTATAACGTATATACAATAATTGTAAGGAGCCTATTGTGTTAAATATACGAAAGAAATGAGCAAGCGTAAACAGTTAAGGAAATTTGAGAGGGAATAGCGAAGTAGAAAAAGTTGATGTCATTGCACTCATGCATCATTTCAGTCTGACGGACGAAAACGAGACACAAGAGGACGCGGCCGAACCAGAGCCACCATCCCGTGGTCCTGGACAAGGCTTTGAAATTGCGGAGGTTGAGCGAATTGTCGCCGGCCGTTGAATCAACTCTAAATGAATGGGAGTTGCCCGATTCCCTCCCGGAGTTGGGGGTTCCGATTCCCTCCCAGGATCGGCATGACCCGATTCCCTCCCGACGACAAAAATGAAGTGAAAAAATCAAAATAGGGAAATGACAACGTTGCTTACCTCTATGAGTGTGTGTCCGCTAAGCGATGTACAAAAAAATCCTTGGAGTGTAAAGGGTTCCTCGTCAACAAATAAAAATTAGTGAAATTTCAGATGAATGTGTTCGGTGAGTTTTTATAAGAAACGCAAAATAGGAAATCACGCAGGGCTTTTTTGAATTTTTCCTTCGATGCGGGATTAACCGATTTTAATATGTTGGCAAGGTTGGAATTACTGTTCTTCTGCTACAGTAAATTCCTTTCCGAATACAATCGACATCACGCTTCGTCAGCACCTCACTATTTTCTTTATTAATCGCTTTATGCATAATTTTCCACGGCCTTTCGCATAAGTTTTCTTTAGCGGTTTCCTTCACAGAATTTCGAATTTTTTGCCTGCATAATTTGTTATCACTTTCGGGCTCATGTAAAATCGCGCACTCTAGTTTGCTATCTAACAATGTACTGTCACCCGCGTCAGTTTTTAGGAAGCTCTTGCACTTTTTATTAACGCAGCACCACCTTCTCACTCCATCCTTCAGTTCTTTGTGAAAACAAAATTTATAATTTTCAACTACCAACAAATCTTTGCTTTTTTCACTTTTAATTTTCTCAAAAGAAACGGCCATGGTGAGATACGCGAGAACACTGATTCCTAGTTGCGCAATGACGATGCATTTTCGGTGGATACACCAGTGCATGCCGTTTAACTCACAATTCGAGCTCATATCGACGTTTACTGGTTCCAGCTGTAATCAGTGTTGGGCATCTGTCGGTCCTCAGTTGTCACATCGTTAAATAAAGCGGGAGGGAATCGGGCTATCACTCCGGTTTTCCCAAAAATATTCGGGAGGGAATCGGGCTATAAAAATTGACCGCGGGAGGGAATCGGGATACGCCCAAATCAATGATTTTGAGCGAACTCTCCGGCCGTGGATAGTTAACTCAAGATTTCACTTTCATCGGAGAAGAGACCGATCCGAGGTCCTGATTTTAACCGCATGCGTTTCACATCCCCTCTTGCCTCCGAAGGGGTTGACAGCGAGGGAATGCCCGGTACAGTTGCCTCTTGATACCTGAGGCCGAGGCAAAGGCAACTCGGTTTTGAGCTATTTTGCAGTCTCTGCCGGCAACGTGGGCTGGACTTAACATTGCATCCTGCTAAAATGCAGATCTACTTCATGAACGTTTAATTCGCTTAATCTTCTATAATGTATATTTGCACACGTGCCATTATCGACACAAACTCCTAACCATTGCATAAAAAGTCCTCGACTCAATCGTGTATTCAACAATGCTAAATTTTCATTCACATTACGCTGCACTATTTGGGAAGAAAATTATGCAAAAGTTCCAATTTTTACTCTACTTAGTCCGTAAAAATACTTTAAAATACTTACTATTGTATTTGTTGCATTTGCCTCAATCACTGATGCATTTTCCTTAATCTTAGCGATTGTATTTGTTGCATTTTCCTTAATCTTAGCGATTGTATTTGTTGCATTTTCCTTAATCTCAGCGATTGTAATTGTTGCATTTACCAATTTTTCTTGTAACTCAAGAATTTTCGCTGTTTTTGCTTCATTCCCTCTTAACATTTCTACCAAACTATTCACAGTTTTGGTTCCAGCCTGTAAAAAAATGAAAAGTAAATGTAAAAATGAACACTACCCTATACAAACTAGGATTAGATATCCTACCATTGGAATAATTTTATTAAAGTAGTAAAATAGCGTTTCTCAACCGCCTGACACTCTGCCTCCATTGTTTTTTTTTTTACTCTCTCGCTCCCCTAGGGTAGAGAGGAAGACTTTAGGTTGTGAAACGCTGAGCCGCTTCCAGGAGGAGACGATGAAGGATGCGCAGGCCCTCTCGATTCAAGTGAAGCAAGTCTACTCGGCGATTCTGATGACCTCTTTTAGGAAAATAAAACTTTTCGTAAAATCGGCGATCAGGCTCCCAAGAGTCTTGACGCATGAGGGGAGAGAAGCTGTCAACCACAAGGACACGATCACGCAATGATTCTCTGGAGCTCGACAACCATTGATTGACCACATCAATCTTGCGATTGACATGCGCAGGAAAGAGAGGAATAGAAGGGGTTCGGCCGACGAAGCGAAAGTGTCTTTCGGCATAAAGAAGGAGGGCCTTCAAGGCCTTTTTAAGGGATGGGACATCAACTTCCGCCTTGATGTCGTTAGTCCCTGCTAGAATGATAAGAATATCCCTGTCTTTGTCGAAGCCTTCATTTCTTGAAAGGTGCTTAAGAATCTGGGTTTTTAGGATCGATCGGAGCCGCAGATCATGGTTTGCCGGAGGAAGGCAACAACTAGAAAGTCCCGTGCGGTCCCCGCACCAATCCGCGAAGCAGATGGGGGGGGGCGAAGCCCCCCAAATGCCGGCGCTTTTTTTTAACATCGGACTCAAGGGCTCCAGGAAAACCCGAAATTCGCAAATCAACCACATAGTGGCACAGGCATTGCAATTCCCTCCCTGTACAGCCACTCTTTTCGAGAAACAAATTATTCTCGCTCCATAAACTTTGTTAAATCAATAGACCATGTGGAAACCTTTGGACAGATATGTTCTGTTTTAAGTTCGCCTTCAATTTTCCCGCATAGGCAACAACCATAACGGGGAGCACGAATAGTTATCTATTCAAAATAAAATGATTCATTTTGCTCCAGTTATAAAGTTGAATGAAATGATTCATTTTGCTCCAGTTATAAAGTTGAACAAAATGAATATAACAAACAAAACAACTAAAAACTACGAAAAAACAAACAGAACAAACTGAACTAATATACCATGCGCAAACCTATGGACAGATATGTTCTTCGCCTTCAATTTTTCCATATAGGCAACAAACATACCGGGGAGCGCGAATAGTTATCTATTCAAAATAAACACATTCATTTTGCTCCACGAATAAAACTAAACAAAACAAATTAAACAAACATGTTGGAACAAGATCGTTCTTTAAAAAAAATTTATTTTGGATTTTATTTGGATTTTATTTTGGATTTATTATGGAACCTATTGTGGATCCTAGGTACGTAAGGAAACCTACGGACAGATATCTTTTGTTTTAGGTTCGCCTTCAATTTGCCCGCATAGGCGACAAACATACCGGGGAGTGCGAATAGTTATCTATTAAAAAACCATGCATATACTTGAATTTCGCCTCATAAACTCCGATTTCGCCCAACCATAAAAGCAGAAAACGCTGTAATCTTGAGGATCATACATATCCATGTTGTAATGGAACCTATTATGGATCCTAGGTATGCAAGGAAACTTACGGACAGATATATTTTATTTTAGGTTCGCCTTCAATTTGCCCGCATAGGCCACGAACATACCAGAAAGGGCGAATGGTTATCTTTTAAAATAACACACATATACAGTAGACTCTGGATTATTATCCGCATTAATTGGTGCCGGGCGCGATCCGGATGAAAAAGAAATCCGGATAATAATAGTAAACACAAACACCACCAACCAACACCACAGTATTCTTATTATGTATACATCATGTACATACCAACACAAATTTAAAAGGTTAACGCCAAACTGAACGACTCAATGGTGATTGTGAATGGTAGCCGACAACGATAAATTACAATACAACGATTAAAGCGCGCAATGCGTGAAGTATTCATGCAATCTTGTAGCCGCTAATGTGCGTTTTAGGCTAACTAACCGACTGCACTGCGTTTGGCGTAATGCGAGAAGTATTTGTGCAATCTAGTAGGCGCTAATGCGTTCCACGCCGACCTCACTGTTTGGCGCAATGCGTGAAGTATTCCTTCAGCCTTGCAGGCGCCAATATGCCTTGCGACCGCTTCTCCGTGGATCCGCTCACTTATCGGAATGCGTACGTAGTTACATGACTGCAAAATCGATCCGGATAATCCAGAGTCCGCATAATACGAAGCCGGATAATCCAGAGTCTACTGTACTCGTATTCCGCCTCGTTAACTCCGATTTCGCCGAGTAGAAAATGCTGTAATCTTGAGGATCATAAATATCCATGTCGTAATGACCGAATTCCCGCGCGAAATCTAGCAATGTTGGCGCGCCGTCAAAATGGAGGGCTCGTTACAAATTACACAAGCACGAGCCGGGCGCTCTGAGTGTAATTTACACAAATTACTACTGGAAAATTCTCCCGGCCGACGCGCTACCCATTCACGCCACACATCTCGATCCCGAGTCCTGATTCCTGATCCTTGAGCTCGGACTGATTTGATTTGAGACCCCGCTGACCGCGGCCGACCTTGGGTCTCTCACACTGACCGCCCGGATTAGAAATGATTTTGCAGATTCTGATTATTCAACTGGCTAATGGAGATGTTGCATGTGTGAGGAATTTGCGATTTGACTGTTGATTCTTGAGTAAAAGTTCGCGAGAAACACGATGTGGCCACTGGTTCTCTCTGAAATCGACTCCCAAGCCCAAAAAAAGCTCTCAAGTTGAGGCCAAAATGGAGGGGATATTGGGATATCACCCTACCCTGAGAGTCCACCTCTACATCAGAACAAACGCTCCATGCAAAGATATGGAGCAAATACATTAGCAGGGTTGCCACTTTATTTGGGAACTCTAAAACTGAAAACACGGCATCACTGCTAATGTATTTGCTCCCTATCTTTGCATGGAGCGTTTGTTCTGATGTAGAGGTGGACTCTCAGGATAGTGTGGGATATCCCCTCCATTTTGGCCTCAAATTGAGAGCTTTTCTTTGAGCTTGGGAGTTGATTTCAGAGAAAACTAGTGGCACCATCGTGTTTCTCGCGAACTTTTACATAAGAATCAACAGTCAAATCGCAAATTCGTCACACATACAACACCTCCATTATTACATTTGATAGATAAGCCGGTAGACTAAGAAGCACAGAGGTAAAAGGAGAACTGGTTCGGACTATATAGCCCTACTATATGATCCACGGAAAAAAAGAGGTGGGGGTAAAGTCCTAAGAGGAGAAAATCAAGGGGGACAAACGGAAAACAAGACTAAAATACTTCGATAAAAAACCCGAGAGGTTTCGACTCAAAAATGAGTCTATTTCAGTCGGAAAATAAATTAAGGTGATTCGTCAAGCTCAAGAGACGTGGTCGAACTGGCATGCGATTACACGTATTCCTGTCTGTCTCTCTTTCTGTTTTTCATGTAATTTACTTACTTAACACTTATTATCACTAATATTTGCTAAAATTTAAAACATTTAATATGTGTAATTTTCTTCTTCCTTCTAAAATCTTCGGGCAAGCGGCGCTTGCCTTGCTTGTCCGGACTGCACGCCACTGATAGCTTCTTTGTTTATGAAACCACCCGCTTCCATCAATAGGATCGCTCTATTTTTCGAGTTCGCCTTCAACAACAGTGATGGCAACATGAGTTGCTTGGGAGTACGAATAGTTGCGCCCAAAATTTCTGTCACTTTTACTCTGCCCTGGCAAGGAACACGCATAGATTCTCTCCTCGCTGGGTGGCTCTCATTCTGCCGAGCAGTGGCTTGGCGTGAATTACGATATATCGATTGATCTGTCCTTTAAACCTATGGAAAAGGATCGATAAACAGGGTGTTCGCAGCGAACACCTTAATAATCGATTCTTTACCATAGGTTTAAATGGCATAACAATCGATATATCGCAATTCACGCCGCGCCACTGCTGCCGAGTCCGCCTTCAATAACTGTGATGGCAATACGAGCAGCTTGGGAGCACGAATAATTGAGTGCAGCTGCAGCTGTGTCACATTCGCTCCCAATCAGTCCGACAAGGAGGACAGACAGAAGACAGGTTGAAAGGATAGCAGAAGAAGGTTTAGCATCACTGCGTACTACTCCGGCACAATCTCTCGCTTCTAATATCACAATCAAGCGCAACCTCCTTTTTTTTCATTTATTTATTTGCACAAAAAATACATATCAATTTGCACAGAAAAGCCTCTAGACTTATACATCTTTAAAAAGCTTGTTTTAACACTTAGCCTATTGTTTACTAAAAATTAATTGATTTTAACAGATTGTACCGCCTTAGGTAAAAACAGGTGGGGAAAGAATAGAACCTAATTATTACAGAATAATAGTGATTCAATTTTCTTAACAGGTTCCGACGGGATTTCCGTCCTAAGCAAAAATGATGATTCTCCTTATATGTCCGAGGAGCATTAGGAGGCGTGAGATTTAAACTTCATATTTATATGACTATACGAGTCTATTCGTGAATTCTGTTAAAGTTATGGAAATTTCAGCCATGTTTTGGGCTTGCGTCTCTATTAATTTTTCTAGTGCTTCTATTCTCTTAACTAATAATTCGAACTTGAATTGATAATCATTATTGTTAATTGATTTATTCGAAGCTGGGTCAGGGGCTTTATGCGATTGGAAAGATTGCACTTGATCTTGATCATGATTAGCGCCGCGTGATATAGCAGAATAAGACTTAACTTTGCCCTGCTTTGCTGTATTTTGAGTTTTTTCCTCTTTTTTCAGAGGGGAGAATTTCCGTTTTTGTATTTCGGATCTGACTTTACAGCCGAGGAAATTTGCAGGGTGTTGACTCTCACAAGCGAAACCTCCTATGGAGATTGCTTCCCAATGAATATTGCGTTCGAGGTACTTTTCATAATTTTTTTTCTGATATGAAAAATTGAATAATGTAGAAAAATACATTTCAAAGTGAGAAAATCTAGCGTCGTGTGACGTCATCCAGCGGAATTTCTCATTCAAACACATGTTTCACACCAAATTAGGTCATTTGGTCATATCTCCTGGAATAATTTCATTTTAGAAACGCGGATATTCTCTTGCTCGGTTCACACGGTAGATTCTTCTCAAACATGAGATTCGACAAATTTCGGACACCTGAAAAGTTTACATGTGTATATGCACTTCCATCAAATGCTGATATTTTCTCAAAATCCTCTTCAGCCATGATAATTTACTAAATATTTGTAGGGCATACGAAAAAATGTCGGAAACTTGGAACATAAAACCTCCGACAGTGAATAAGTCACATAATCAATTCAACCTACGATCACGCGCAGCTACTAGCTCCTGCCACCATGTTAAGAAACTCAAGTAAGACACGTATTTCACATTGATCCTTTATTAGATCTTTGACTTGTTAGAAGGCAAATACACCTGAAACAAGCTCATGCGCAGGTGAAGCTTCTAAAAGCATAAGCGACGTAAGACATCTTAGATCTCAGAGACTGGATGATTCCAGAAGATCCCCCGTAATTTAACGGGTGCATCGTCTTTCGTCCATCTGAAGTTCGCCTTCAGTTTTGTTGCATAGACAACAAATATACAGAAGAGCACGAATGGCTATCTATTGTAAAAACACACATTCCGCGAGCTAAATCTTTCATCAATTCAGATTCTTCGCGAAACCAAGAGACCATGCTTAAACTTACTGACAGAACTGCAAGCCTTCAATTTCACCGCCTAGGCAACCAAACATACCCAGGAGCGCGAATAGTTATCCAATCGAATAATACACAACGGGCTACTTGCACCTAATGATAATCCGAACCCAGCACCCTTCCTTATGATATAATTATTACTCT